GCCCTTGCTTGACAATCCTCTCAAGGCTGCGGTCATCCCTGTCACTTTTGCACCTTTTCCGGCCACATTCTTCCCTTCTTCTTAAGACTCTGTTAATATACTTTGATACTGCGTTCTGTGAGCATCCAGCTTCTTTTGCAATTGCCTTTTGAGACTTTTCCTCCTTATGGAGGGTGTCAATGATGGTCGTCTGCACAACCGTCAAGTCAGCAGTCTTCCCCATGATTCTGAAGCCTACTAAGCCAGACTGAGACAATTTCAAGGCTGAGGAAACCTTTGCAGGTGTTTTGCATTAATTAGCTGACTAGATTGGGACACAGGGAGCCTACAATGTTGAACTTTGTCATGATATTCTAATTTTGTGAAATACTGGATTTGGGTTTTTTTTTTTGTCTTTAATCCATAATCATCAAAATTGAAACAAATAAAGGCTTGAAATATTTCACTTTGTGTGTAGTGAACTAATATAACATACAAGTTTCACTTTTTGAAACAAATTATTGAAATAAATGGACTTTCCCTCGATATTCAAATTTTTTGGCACATACCTGTACTATTGCAGCAACGCATCATCAGTAGGGTAAAACTAAGCTGTCTCACAATGGTCTAAACCCAGCTCACATTCCCTGTTAGTGGGTGAACCATCCAACGCTTGGTGAATTCTGCTTCATAATGATATGAAGAGCTGACATTGAAGGATCAAAAAGCATCGTCGCTATGAACGCTTGGCTGCCACAAGCCATTTATCCCTATGGTAACTTTTCTGACACCTTCTGCTTAAAACCCAAAAAGTCAGAAGGATCGTGAGGCGCCGCTTTCACAGTCTGTATTCATACTGAAAATCAAGATCAAGCAAACTTTTGCCCTTCTGCTCCACGGGAGGTTTCTGTCCTCCCTGAGCTTGCCTTAGAACACCCGTGTTACTGTTTGACAGATGTACCACCCCAGTCAAACTCCCCACCTGCCACTGTCTCCGGAGCGGGTCACGCCCGGCAGAGCCTCAACAGTGCCTTTTGCTAGGGGGCAGCTAGGGACAGTGGGAATCTCATTCATCCATTCATGTGCATCACTAATTAGATGATGAGGCATTTTGCTACTTTTGGCCTATAAGGCGTTCCGGGTTTCATCCATTCATGTGCATCACTAATTAGATGATGAGGTATTTTGCTACTTTTGGCCTATAAGGCGTTCCGGGTTATCCTGCCCATCAGGTGTCATCCAGTGATCGCTGCCCAAGCCCTTACTAGCTTGAGCAGATTATTCATTATGGATGACTCACTGCCCCCTCTATTTCCAACGAACCGCTTGCTGGTGGGTGAGAGAACCCCTAGACTGACTCACTCAGAAAGTCCCTTAGTACATCCAAGGAGTACAAGAGAGCTCTCCGGCTCACCAGCCTAGCAAACTGCGCCCTCCGGCCTACTGCCACTCCCAGTTCAGCCAGGACCTGGTTATTGCAAGAAGGCCACTTTCCCCTCGCCCCTACCGGGAAACCCATGACCTTCACTCGGCTTGCTCCAACCAGTCTCCCCACCTGAGACGTGAAAGGCTTATAGTAGGCAATTTTCTCCGCTGCAGCCGCCTGCAGTGTGTCTGGTGCATACTCATATCTCACGGTCACATCGAGCACTAGAGCTCTACCTTCTTTCGTGCAAACCAGGTCCGGAATCCTGAGGTCGCCCTCAGGTATATTCAAGCGGAATTCCCGGCTCACACTCCATCCGGCGCGCTCTGCCTCGATGGCCAGGAGGTCGCACATCTTGTTATGCCGCCGAATCCTGCTACCCTGCACCCCCGGGCACTGTCCCAATGCAAACAAGACTCCATCCTCCTTCCTTGGTCCGCCCCCTCGAAAGGAACTCCCTGGTGGGGTATGTACCCGCCCTCAGCGCCAGACCCGCAATATAGTGCCGTTCCCTGAACCCCACCTGCGTGGGGTCCTTCAACCACGAATTGCTCAGCTTGTCGCCTTGGAACTGATCCACGCCCACACCCTGGACTGGCAGTGCCGCCCAAACCATGACTTCATCTCCCCTCCAGTCACCCAATCCTGGAGGACTCCTGCGGGCGTCGAGATCATTCTCTGCTTCCAAACTGGGAGCTTCCTCGGGATCCCCGCCAGCCATTGCCCACCTCTTTTGCCATTCAGTCAGGGAGATTGTCCTAGCTGTTACCAGTCTAGTCCATTGGTCCGTAGACCTGGACAATTGATAGATTTGCCTCCCTTGTATCGACGGGACAAGCCTCTCCAATCTCACTATGCCCAGCCCCCCGTCTCGGTTACGTGAGTAGAGAAGCCCGTTGGTTGTTGATGACCACCCAGTTTCCATGGTTCGCAGTCGTTAACCACGCCCTTGTTGATGAAAAACCCGTGACACTTCCTGGGCTGAATGCTCAGTCCAGTTAGCTGGCAAAACAGTTCCAGGACCTTCAGATTCCTCCCCATCCCCCTTACCGAGTCGCTCAACAGCACCAAATCATCTGCGAACGCCAGTGTGACGATGGTATGGCCATCCCAACCGAAGCCAGTTCCGCACTCTTCCAAGGCCTGGATCAGGGGGTCCATAGCCAGGTTGAATAGCAATGGGGACATCGGGTCACCCTGCTTCACTCCAACCTTCATGTCAATAGGCGGGGTAGTGGATCCGCTTGTACCGACCCTTGTGACGCAGTCCACGCTCGTGACGCAGTCCACATATGAGTTTCGTATCAACTCAATCATGAGGTTGTCCACACGTCTCTGTTCCAGAGCACACAGGATATGCTCATGGGAGATGGAGTCAAAGGCCTTGGCAAAGTCAACAAACACCACCGCTAGTGGGGCTCCGCTTCTCCTCGCATACCCCATGATCCCCTGTAGGATCATCAGATTGTCAGAGCAACCTCCCGAGGATAACAGAAAACCCCTCTGCCTAGGATTCAGGGGACAGGCTCTAGCTAGCCTCCTCGTTAGAATCCTAGAAAACACGCAAAATCAGGGACCCGATAGTCACAGGACGCCACCCGCTGACGTCCTTCAGCTCCTCGGCATCCCTTGACTTTGGTAGCAGTTTGGTTCTGCACTCTTTCAAAGCCCTGGGTATGACCCCGTGGATCATCCACATGGTGAACAGCCGTCCGAGTTGTTCTCCCTCCGGATCCCAGTCCAGCAGAGCCTGCTTGCTGATCCTGTCTGGGCCCGGGGCTGAACCATTCTTTAAACCGGCAAGATTTTCTTTCACTTCGGCGGCCAGGATCGGAGCATGGAAGTACGACTTGTCAGTCTCACCCCTCGACCTGAATCCACCGAGCCCTTGAAATGTCCGTTCCGCCTCCCATCTCTCCCTCAGCCCTTCATACACGATTCCGACTGGGAGGTCACATTCCACACTTTCCTCACCATCGAGCACCATGGCCGCCAGCCTGGAGGGATCTCTGGCCAGTAGCTGCTGGTGGACCCGATAGTCTTTCCTCTTACATGAGAGCCGCCTCTCCCATCCTCTCCTTGCTCGGTGTTCGCTCCTCTGATTCATGTCTACTGACCTTCCACCCTCTTTTCCCAGCCGCCCAATGATTTCTGATGCTGTAGATTCAATCAGGCCAGGATCCTGATCTACATCTCTTGCCAGCTCCGCCATGACCCTGACCTCATTCCCACCTTCTGATCCCCCCCCTTCTTCGAGCGCTTCCGTTAGCTTAAAAACAGCCAAGGTAGGGGGAGGCTGTGGGATGAACGGTTCCTTTAGAGCCTCCAAATCTCCCCTTCTCAGGCTCCCTTCCTCATCTAGGTCATGGCGTGCTATCTCATCTTGCAGCAATCTACATTTACTCCTCACCTGCTCAGCTGTCTTCCCGGTATCAAGCGCCTCTGCTATACGCTTGTACCTGCCCGGATCATCTTTGTACGTCCGGGCCAATTGTATCAGCACCCTCATCTCGTCCGGCCTCCATAGCTTAGTCCCCCTGACCCTTCCCCTCGGTTCACTGGCTTTTTCGATCTTCTCCCTGTTGTGTTCCGCTGCATGGGCACGCCTCCGGTGCTGCGTACAACCAACCTGGGTCTTGAATCCCACTTGGCAGAGTCCACAGACAAACTCTCCCTCAGTCGTCCCCCTCTCTCCACGCCCCTGGCACTTGGGCACGTGGCAAGAGATTGAGTGACTGTTAGTGTTGGTCCTACCGCACTTTCGGCACTTGTACACGGCCGGCACCGAGGCATGTTTGATGGCAAAATGCTTCCCCATCGCCCCCATTGTACCTATTGGCACACCACACAACGGACACCCCGGACCCGGACCGGGCAGCCAGATCTCCACCGTCTGGTTGGGGCCCTGGGCTTCGTCCATGGAGCCGGACTCCTCCTGGGGCCTGATAGCTGGGGGGCTGCCGGAACTGACCATCTCTTCCCGCTCCATATCGCCCTGGGTACCTTCTATGGAGTCGGTTACTGGCACTACTCCGCCTTCAATATCCCCAGCAGTGTCAGTGATCGTTCCACTTGCCCCCCTTTCAGCTGTAGCAGGCTGTGTGGTATACACAACCCTTTCCAACTCTGCCCTGCTTGTCGAGCTAGTAAAGGTCATTGATTCAACCACCACATGAGGATTCAATCTCCTGGTGGGCTCCCCCTGTAGTATGGCCCACCAATCTTGGATTGAAGTCTGTGTCATTGATGAGACAGTCTTAAGTCTCCCGACTCCCGACGGAGGCATAACCCCCTTATTGTCGGTTGTGGTTCCAATCGATCGCACCCGGACCTTCTTTCCCCCTGCGGGCCGGTCCCATCTCCCGCTGGGAAGGTTGATTCGCCATGACACCACCTGCCCAACCTCAAGCCGATGGGTGGGATTGCTTCGCCATACAACCTCGGGTCCAACCCCTAGCCCGGGTGTCAGCCGTTTTGATAAACCAGAAGGCTGGTCCTGGTCAAGATACATATTCCGACTAATCATGCTACGTTTGTGGTGTGGCTAATGAACCAGGTCACCAGCCTGGTCCATGGGCTGCCCCTCTCCTCTCCGCGGGGCCCTCACGGCCCCGTTACCGGCAGGAACCACTAGGAGGTGGAGGCTAACCATGATTTTATTGTGGCCTTGGTGGCCGTTGCCCAACCGCCCACCATTGACGGACCACAATCTCTCCCTTAAGAGAGTCATAGTTACTCCCACCGTTTACCCGCGCTTTGTTGAATTTCTTCACTTTGACATTCAGAGCACTGGGCAGAACCACTGGGGATTTGGCGCTGGGCTCTTCCCTCTTCGCTTGCCGCTACTGAGGGAATCCTGGTTAGTTTCTTTTCCTTCGCTTAGTAATATGCTTAAATTCAGCGGGTTGTCTCCTCTTATCTGAGGTTGTAGATTTACGAGGGCGTGGCTCACCCCCCTGGGATGGGGGGGCAGCGCTCAGTCTCCGCGTGATGCCTGGGGCATCCCGGTTGGTGGCGGCGGGGGGCATGCGAGGGCAAGCCCGGAGGCCCAGTCTGTAACCCTGAGGCGGTCCGCCCAAAAACCTGTCACTTATGCACCCGCCCAGGCTCATCGCACACATAACGTGGTCAGCAAGGACACGAGGTGTCCACAACCAGCCGCGCCCGGTGGGGTGCTCCCCGACCTTGGCCGGGGGCCAAAAAGTGTGGAGGAGGGTGGGCCCAGGGACATGCAAGCATTACACGCACTGTGACAGGCATTCCCAGAGTCTGTGCTTGGGGGGACGAAGGCATCGAGTGCCTGCGACTGCCCCAGCCGCGGGAGGACATATGGGGCGTCTTTTCCCCCGATTGATGGCAAAGTGACCCTCAGACAGGCATAGCCAGGGCCACAAGGTGCGTTCGAAGTGTTGATGAACAACGTGTCCTGCAATTCACATTAGTTCTGGCAGCTAGCTGCGTTCTTCACCGATGCACAAGCCGAGTGATACACTGCTAAGAATTGCCACATGGTTTCGAGTGGGAGGCCACGGTTCGAAGACAAGGAGGGAAAGGCCAATGACACAACCCTCGGACACTCTGTCTGGCTAAGCCCGTGTGGGGTCAGAGCTGGGGAGGAGACATTGAATCCCCCTCTCGCCCCCGGCGGACATGGGAGAGTTGGGTACCAAGAGGCGCACAGAAGAGCGACCAGGGCAGAGCTGCTGCGACCGCGCTTAGGTGGAGGTCCTAAATGGGCGGGCCCAAGTTTCAGAAGATGTCCACATACAGAGAGTAAAGTCAGAAAAATGTGTGCCAGCTTGTGCTCTTGTGTCCCCCTATTGCCCCCTATCCGTTGGTGCAGTCAAAATTTGATTTACAGGGAAGAGACACAATCCAATTTTCTAATTGGCTAAGGCTGGGAAATTTTGTGATTGGCCATTATCTACATTGATTTTATCATATGCATGCAAAAATGCAATAAAATAAAGTATCATGCTCTGATTAAATACTACTTAAGCTGAATTCATGCAATACTGCCTGTGTCTCTAAAAGGGCACAGACAGGGCAGCTTAGAAGTGGGTGGCAATCAAACAATAAACACCTGGAGCTTGGGTCTCACCTTCAACTAATGTTGCAATAAATGCATGCCTCAACACTGCGGACACTGCAGTAGCACCACAATCAATGTGCTGAGAGATATGACAAGGAGAGAACCGTGAAAGCTGAATTAGATGATTAAAAAAAAAACTGCAAATTGTCCAGATAAGATTTATGAAACTAGTTAGTTGTTTTGGTTTGAAACTAAACTGGTTTAGTCCTCTGGCTCATTCTCCAGCATTAGTATTTGTGAAGCTATTAAGCTAATGTTTGCTTTGAGTTATTTCTTTAAATAGAGGTTCACAAGTTAAAGCAATTTTAATTGTCTTTGAACATATGCCAACTTTATGCAGGAAAATAAAGCTGATGTATGCTTTATTTGCAACGGTTTTTCTGTAACATTGTCAATATGTTTCAAATTTACTCTGAATTTTACAGATGATGAACAGAAAAAAGAAGGCACAAGAGGAATTGATATGTATATATTTATGCTTTTTATTTTGTTGTGGGCTACAGCAATGCAGCCCAACTGCAAAACTTTATAGGTTCATTATTTGAATAACTACTATTCTAATCTGCTTGTTCTTTCAGGAGGACTGTGCCACAGATGACTCTCTGTCAGAATCCATTCCTGACCTGGAAAGTGAATATATCCCATCATCTGAAGAAGACCCCTGCAACACAAACAGCAATGATGGTAATCCTGATAACAGCGGCGACAATGAGGATGAGGGTAGGACAGTGGTTACAGTGAAAACCTGCCACAAGGGTCAAAAAAGAAAGTGGGACAAGCATCATTACTGCAAAAAACCACAAAGTTAAATGGCACGGCATCTTAGGCGGAACCACAGTAGTGAAACAGAAGGGGTCCTAGCAATGGGTCTTCCATCAACACCAAAGAAGTGTCACCAAACATTTGAGCAACTTCGTAGGAAGGGAAATTATTATCATAACATTGAGGTGTTGCAGAAGGGTGAGGGCGAGATAGTAACCTATAGACAGCCATCAAAACATGCAAATGCAGAAGATTATTTGCCATGCAACATTTGCTATGGGTTCTTCATAAAAGATGAACTATGGAAACATGAGAAACGGTGT